AACATGAGAACTCGAAAGATAATGAAAATTCAAAATCGAAATATTTTTTAATCAGTGCATAGCCAGACTAAATCCAAGTGAACGTTCACATATACCACCACATCAACAGCCATCCTTCCAAACTAATGGATTGAAGATGGTGCGTCATAAATAAATATCATAAAAATTTTTATAGCCTATAGTTCAAAAATATTAAAAATTTATAATTTTTAAAACCAAATCTTATGATATCTAAGCAAGTACAGTGAGGAAAATAAAAAAAATTTCATTTACATTTACAAGAATGTCATTTCAATTAATCCTTATCTCTATTTATTGCTTTGCCGATATACACAGAATCATAGTGAACAGCATAATAACTGCGCAGTAGAATATTCATGGGAATATTTGCAGGCAAGAATTTAGTGCCATTTAATGGAGTATTTTTATTTATTAGGCCAGCACGTCAGCCATTGATTTTATCATATCCTCTTTGTTTACACCCAGCACATCAACTATTTGATTCTTTTTTTCCAGATTTCTTATATTTATGAATATCTTCTTCTCTTTATCCCCACCAACTCTAAAAATTCATTACTTGTAATCACTGCTGCAGTGGTTTCTATCTTTCTTCTTGTCTCAGATTCAGCAATTTTTGGTTCCCTTCTTGGTGTAGTTTCCTGAAGACTGCGAAATACCTCGCGAAGGCAAAGCAATGAAAATCTGCACTGCTTTGGCTGAACATCAATTGTCAGTTGTCTTTGCAGTAGAATTTGGGGGTGTAAGAACTGAGCATCTGTGGTTACAATTAAAATATATATTTAATAGTTGTTATACTTAATAAATATGAACTGTCGTTTAAGGAAATGTGATTATATTTATTAGCTATTGTTTATACTATTTATAAGAAGAAATGACAATGATCAGGAATTACCCCTAAGGGGCATCATTTGATATAGTTTCCTGTAATCAATTTTAATGTTTACAGATGTGAAATAACTAATCAAAAGCTTACAATATTTATTATTAAGAGAGAGATATTTGCAGAAATGTGCACCTTTAGAAACCCACCTTTGAAATGGAAAATACAGAAAGCAGTTTAAAAGATACTTATTTTGTTAGATTAAACAAAACATTATTATTAAGTAAATGCAGTTATACTTTAGTAAAGCGCACAAGGATACTTGTCCCTATCTCAAATTTTAAAAAAAATTCCCTTTTTTTATCCTGAATTACCCCAGGTCACTCTAATACTTTTAAAAACTGTATAATTTGGAAACTATTTGATTGATTTTGTTCAAATTTTATATTTTGTCATCTAAAACTACGAACTTTAGAATAGTCTAAAATTTTTTATAGCCAACAGTTCAAGAATTTTTTGATGTATAATAAATAAAATCAAAAAATAAAGGATATTATTAAAAATCATTTTCTATATGGGATTATCCTTGGATAAACAAATTTTGTAATTACGTAAAAAAATTTTCAATTCCCTTGAAAAGTTGTAAAGATAGGGTGAAATATCCAAAAAAATGAAAATAACATAAAGGGTAACAAACTTTTGTTCACTCTATAGGGACCCTATTTTCAAAAGTACAAAACTCCACATACTTTGGTGGCTTAGAATCCAAATCTGTAAACGAAACAAAAAACTATGTTGATTGTGAAAAGGTGAGTCTTTGTGTCTGTTTTTATAACTTAAATTATCATCATCACAAATTAATAAGCCTATTTAAGGTTGAGTGTTCAAAGTTAGAGTCGTAGTACATAAAAATCTGATCATTCGATAAAAAGTTATTTTTCAATGCACTAGTGTCACTGAACAGTAAAATTACACTAAGATAGCACAACAATCTTATGCAATCATATAGGTTGACTTTTATACCAGAAATAATAATACATAGTTAAATACATAGCTGCCAACAAGGGTAGGAAAAAATCCCGTACATTTTACGAAATATTATAAATTTCATTTTCCAGTTATGATTGAATGTCATTAAATATACATAAAATGCTAATTATTAGTACATAAATGTTAATTATAGTAAAAGGCATTTAATTCAGTTAAAAGAGTTTCTTAATTAATTTAAAAAGGGAGTTTTGAATAAAAATTAACTGAAAATTTTAGGACAAAAAAAAGAGTTTTAAAATGATTTTGACAAATGAGGCTGCCTTCATTATGTATTATTAATACTGATTTAAATATTCTAACAAACAATAATCTATTACAACAGGGATTTTGTTAGCAAACTTACTCAATTTTAAAGAATTTTTTAAAATGTACAAAAACCAGACAAATTTTTATCAAACCAGTAGACCAGGAGAACCTGGCAAAATCCAGTAGTCTACTGGAAAATCCAGAACAGTTAGCAGCTATGTTAAATAGCTTATCAATTTGAGTATGGCATTATTAAATCTGATCACTTCAAAAGTTAGTTAACATTTTTGACTAATTAATATCTTAAGTATGTAGAATTGCAATTTTAAACCAGGAGAAAAATGTGACGAACTATATAAATAAGACGGGATCGAGTATGTCCCAAAAAAGTGGGATAGCAAGGTATTTTTCTACCTTGGGCAGACTCATAATAAGCCATCCTTTCATTCATTTTTACATTCAGTTTAACTAGCCTTGATAAAAGCACAGCAATATACCCCTTAAATTATAATGCTTGTTATAGCAGAGTCTGCAATTATTGACACAATTTAAAAAACATTTCTGGAAGAAAAGGCACTTTTTTTTCTTTCTTATTTTTTTAGGAAATAGTTTATTAAGTTACAACAATATAAGTTCTGATCTTGTCCTGGTCATAACACACAGAATTTGTCTCTATTATCATTTCTGGAATAAATCGTTATTGAATATTTTGACTAGCTAGTGTGTTTAAATTTTAACTAGAATTCTACTTTGGATGACAATGAAAGCATCAATCATTTTCTGAACAGCTAATCAACGTCTAAGACAACCTAATGCTCATCAAAATTTAGAACACTTTCAAACAAGCCAGTGCTCAAGATTTCAACATCTGCCTGATGCTAATCCAAGTTAATATTGTCTTTTAAATAATGGGAGAAAAATTAATGGCTATATTATTACCGAAATTTTTTCCACTTTTAAGAAAGAACTCAGAGAAACTATCAAACATAAAATTAAAATAAAAATTTTAAAAACTACTTTTTTAAAATAATATGAATCGAAATTTTTTTAAAATTTTTACGAGACCTGAATTGGGTATGAAAAGGCCTCAGAAAAATAAAATTGTCTTTAATTTAGCCTACTTGTTAAATGTAGTTTGGGATGGTGATCTGTGGCAGAATAATCGCAAAGTTTTGGCAACTTCCGGGCAGCGGCCCAGGAGAAACTTTAAAAAAACATCACAGGAAGGGACCAACTTGAAAGATATAAAATCTGAAACGTTTAAAAAACTCGCTATTATTTTTAACTGTGTATTTTTGATAAATTAACAATTTTATCTTAGATTGCTTACCACTTAATGTTAATAAACACTGCAAATTTAAAACAGAAGTTGATTATCAATCAAAAATATAAATAAAGATCTTGCTTGCTTTTACCAATTTAATTCATTTTGTTAACTGTGATGTCAAAATAGACAATTAAAAGAAATCCGCCCATTTTATTTACAAATAGAATATTAAAATCGTTCTTAAAACAAATTCAGATACGCTATGTTATACATGTATATAAAAAATACGTTATACATGTATGATTTAGAACAATGTTCCCCAAATCCCCGGTCCATGGACCGGTACCGGTCTGTGGGTCAAGTGATACCGAGCCGCCCATTTCATTGAAACTGAATTTAAATTCTTAGGTTTGCAACTCAAATTAAAAATATCTGTGTTCCATTAAAATTTTATTTAAAAAAGACTGTGCCTGAACACTTAATCTTCCAGTTGGTGCACGATTACTTGTCTTTTCTTTTAAAAGAGTTCGAACGCTACTTCCCAACCACAAAAGACCCACAAACTGGTAAGGAATGGATCTGTGTCCCATTTGTCAACAAATCGGGAGAATTTAGCATGTCTGTGCAAGAAGATCAACTGCTTGAGATTGCAAATGACGGCTGCCTTAAAACTACGTTCGAGACAACAAACTCTGCTGGTGTTCTGGATACCCCAATATTGCCACCACAGCACTTAAATCCCTATTGCCATTTCCGACAACCTATCTGTGCGAAGTTGGGTTTTGTGCAGCAACAGCAACCAAAACAAACCAACGGAATAAACAGGACATAAACACTACACGGTGTCATTGTTTCCGATTAACCCCAGATGGAACCCTCTCATTGCAAAGAAACAAGCTTAGGGTTCTCGTTGATTTAACGTTCTAGTAAGTTAAAATGTTCACTTTATATTTATTTTTTGGTGTTAATGTATTTAATTTTGAAGGCATGTTTAAATACATTTAAATTAAAAAATCTAAATAATAATTTAAAACATAAACAATCAACTTCCCCCTCCCAGTGGGAGCTCGGTAAAATTATCAAACATTGACAGGTCTGCAGTGACGAAAAGGTTGGGGAACACTGATTTAGAAGACCTCAGGCAAACCTCTACATGTTTTTTTTTTCTTTTAAATTGCAATTTTTAAAATCCATTTGGCATCTTGGCAATTGTACTTGGCGCGACAGATCACGATACAGAAAATTCCCCTTATGGGAAAAGTAAATGAACCATTCCTAACAAACATTACTTAGTAAAATTTAATATTACCTGAAAACGCTTTTATCATAAGCAAACTTAAAAAACAGAGAATAACACTTTAACAACTACTTTAATATATAATTTATTTTAAATAATATCTTTTATTNTGGAACGATCGGTGCAGTGCACTGGTGTAACTGGTTTTAATATTGGAACGGTCGGTGCGGCAAACCAGTGTAACCGGTTACACCGGTGCGAATATTGGAACGTGCCCTAAGATTATAAAAAAACTTTTCATTTTAAGGAATAGCTGCTTATTTCTTCTCGACTATATCCCGACTGTATCTTGAAATCTGGCCGTAACAGAGCGTATGGGAGTTCAGGTTCAAGCGAGAAAGATAGAAGTTGTATACTCAACTCAACTCGTGTCGTTCTATTTCATTTTCTTCATCGTGTTTGTTGATGATCAAAAAATTATGGCTGCTGCAAGAAGTTCACGTCATGATCCGGATTCGGATAGTCCTATAGATTATGTTCAGATCGATGGACTGGTATGATAAATATTTTTTTTTAGCTTGATATATATTTTTTCAAAATTAGATAGAACTTCCCGGACTTTAATAGTCCTATTCAATTTGTCCAGATCGATGGATGGCCATGATTTTAGAACTGACTACAGACCGTCTCAAAACTTATGGTACATACGCTAAAGGGGTATAGACAAGCACCAATCACGATACAATCCATGATCGGAACGCAAGTCGTTAAGTGCTATAGCTCGTAACGTGCTATTTCACAAAATGATGGGAAACAAGATAGAGATGGAATGATACACTAAGTCCACATCTCAGGAGCTGTTCAAAATTGCTGCCCCAAATATTAACACCGTCTTCACACCTGTTGTATTATTTGTTAACTATAATGATAAGTAAATACTAAGTATTTCAAAGCCTAAACATCTTTATTGACAGGCGAAATAAACTTCGAATATTACGGCAGACGAAATGAACATCTTCATTAACAGGATGTCACATGCCATCTCCCATTTTTTTTTTAAATTAAATGCTATAATACAAACATTATTAACTAAAATAATTCAATAGGAAGCATGTAAAAATATCAAATTCACTATGAAATGCATGTAAAAGAAAACCAGTTCAATTTATCAGATGGTAAATGAGTCACAAATTCAGTATATTGGGTGGTGCAATTGTTGAAATGTCCTCGCATTACCGTTTGCAGCTCTTGGCCTGTAATGCATCTCGGCCTTTTCCCGATTTGATCCATCTGTAACATTTTTTCTGACAATGGAGCCGTGAGACAAAAATATATCCCTTTTATGATCTTGGCTAATAAATGCCAATTTTTGGTGAAGAGTAGCATGCTAGGAACTAAAAAATAACAGGAGATCCACTCAAAAGGTATAGCTTTTACTTAACTCTAGGCAATCAAAAACATACTACCTTTGATAAATATGCTTTGGTGAAAGTAACTAGCATGAGCTGATGGCGATAAGAAAATATCTGACTGGGATGTGATTGGTTAAAGTGAACGGGTGCTACATTGTTTAATACTGTATAGGCTAACAAATTATCTTATTAGACTGCGCTACTACATAGGGTCCCACCATGAGTTATTAGGAATAAAACTGAGATTACCAACTGAAAAGTGAAATGTTTTATACTTTCAGTGGACTAAAAATAATTATATTGAGAGTACTCTATTAAAAAATTATTCTATTACATTATTAAAAATATTAAATTGTTTTTATTAAAAATTGGGTTATAATTCTTCATGTTTAATTCATATAACAAAACCTTTTCTTTTTGCTTGAAAAACATTTCTAATATATTTTAACTATGTCTTATTATTTTTTAATAAAATACTTGTGATGCAGCAAGAATATTTGGTTATTCTTGCTTTTATGTCATATCTAATTATCAGGATGAAATAAACCCATTGGTAATTGGTAGATTACATACTAAAAAAAAAAACTAATAGAAAAGGGGGAAATTTTAAATAAAACTATACACCAGTGTTCACACTGTGATTTTTTTTATTTCTATCGTATTTTTTTTTATTTATATCGGATTTTCTTTTTATTTAAATCAGATTTTTTTTATTTTTATTCAAATACACGGTAAGAACTTTAATTTATGATTAAATAAATGTTTAATCAAAATTAAATTTAAAGACTAGCTGAAATAGAGAATTTAAAGAATACTTCAGGGGTCTGTCTAGGTTTTTCTGAGAGGTAACTATTTTGTGAAAATTTAGACATAATTTGTGAAAATTAAAAATTATATAAATAAAATAAACAGCAATATGGTAAAAATATGGATTTATCGTTTCTTACAAGACACGAAAATACAATTTTAAGAAAAAAGTATTTTATGAAATTATTCTACCATTTTTCCCAAAGTTGAATTTGTGAAGGTACCGCTAAACGGTAGTAAATTTGGCTTGGACAGACCCCTGTATTTTAATTATTAAAACAAAGTTTCAATTAGCAAACTATAATTTTAATTTAAAATTGTGATTCCTTTTTTTACACTAGATTTTTAAAATGACAAAATAAATGTAACAGATTGTGTTTATAGATGTAGTCATTCATCAAAAAATAAATACATATTTTATCTATATATTTTTACATTAAAATATTCATTTTTAATTCTATATCAAAATAGATAAGTTTAAGCTAAAAAGAGAAATTTAAAAATCTATGTACTCATTGGAATTTTTTTTCACAAAATTTCTTTATAGAAAATCAGATAATGTCAAAGGTACTGTAAACATATTATGTGAAAAAAAATACCAGTTAATAATCCTACTGCTTCAAATAGACTTTGAAAGGGAAGAATGACACTATATCAGGAAAAAATATCTGAATTCATCAGCCTTTTTTTTTCTTTCAATTTTTGGCATATTAGGGTAATTTCTTTTTAATATGACCTTAAGCTTTAGAAATATATATTTTCCACCAATAAAATATATTGTAGATTTTAATTCCACGCTTTTTCATTCAAAAGGTAGAATTTTAATTAACATTATTTGCATTATTTTTTTTTAAAAAATCATGTTTATTAATTACTTTCTGCAGCTATGCAAGTCTATATTAAGACAGCTTTAAATGTTTACTTTAATCTGTACTTTCAATCTCAAAAATCAAAAGAGTTTTAAAAGTGTAATTTCAAATGTGTTGGAATTTAACGCACACCAAGAAATTAATTTCGTTAACTAAAATTAATGAATACAGCAATTTATTTGAAATAAATTTTAAAACTAAGAAAAGAAAATAATAAAAGTATCAATATTTTAAAACACTATTTTTTAACTTTTAAAATCAATATATATATGTAAATTGATTTAAATCAGGGTTGGCAAGTTTTTGACACATGACGGTTTTTACAGTCATGTCAAAAACCCCTCTGTCAAAATCATCAAAAACCCATAGTTTTGGTAAAACTGTATTTTTATTTGAGTTTAACTGCTTATAATTTAAAATTAATTCATTTTTGGGCAATAAAATTCGAAAAAAAGTTGTTAAAAGATATTTAAGAACAGATTTTTGCATTTTCCCAACACGATTATATCAAACCATACTATTTGGAGTAAAATATTAGGATACTAAACAAAATTTTTAACATTTCCAAGCATCATTTTGTTTGGCATATTACATTACTGAAGAATGTCAAGACTGATTATTTTCATTCATAAAATCATGCTTTGAGAAACACATAAAAAGAAAGCCTCGTAAAATAAACTTTTTTTTATCAATTTTGCTTTCAATGTTTTACACAAAAATGAGACATGGCAATGAAAAATGCGCAAAATTAGTCACTTGCTATCGTATACTTCGGCACAGTGACCCCGACTACAGAACATGTAATTTTGTTTGTAATTAAGTTTTGTTTAATGTGCTTTTTCAATTGAATAGAAGTTTTTAACTTGACAAAATAGCACTAATTCTTGATTTAGAGTTTGTTAGTAGTTAAAAGTTTTGAAAGTTTTGTTTAGCTTATTTCTAATATTTAAGAAATGCCAAATTTTAAATTCTTCTTTTTAGTTCTTGAATTTATTAATAGTTCCAAGCTTTTTTGCTTGTTTGTTTATTTCTAACAATTAAGAAGTGCAAAATTTTGAATCCTTTGCAAATCAAGCTGTAATGATAAAAGTAAGTATCGCTATTTTCAATAAGTATATTACAATATTTCTGTAATGAATGTATATCCTTCTATAGGAATACATGTATATAGTTGCAAAATCAATAGCAATAATTTACAACATTCATTTATAAAGGCAATTATGTGAAAATAATATATTGCCCGCTATATGCCATAAATTAAAGAAAACTGTAGGTTTTTGATGGTTTTTAGATCAGGAACATGGTAGGTTAGCTCTGATTTAAATCGACAAACCCTGCTATACACACCTCTGGGCAAGCCATTATATACCTTTTTTTTAAACTTTAATTTATTCCACATTAGAACTTAATAGAACTGTAAAACTTCATTTGGCACCACCAGCCAAATATCATAACTTCTTGCTTTTTTTTCCTATCTTCAAATTTGTTTTGATGTGCAATGTGCGTAAAATTGATTTTGTTATTTATTGAATACTATATGAATGAAAGGAGATATTATTTAAATTAGGTGGTTCTTAAAATAATAAAACATTGTCATGAAGAAGGGGCTGGAGTTACTGATGTCGCACAAGGAGTATTACTTGGTCTTGGAGTTGATAATAGGCTTGAAATCACAAACTGTTTTCCTTATCCCAGGCATACTGATGAAGAAGATTTTGATGAAAGTAATTTCTCCAGTTATTTGCTTTTTTAAAGTAGTTCACTTATTTTTATTTGTATGACTGTAGAATCATGATTCTTTTAATTGTTATTACTGAGTAACATTTTGTCTGTAGCGAAAACGACATTTTTGTGACTAATTTAGTCTGTAATTTCTGAAATTATATGCATATAAAAACTTGATGCTAGCTATTAACTGTTTTTGGTAAACCATTTTAATTATTATTTTTTATAAGAAATATTTAATTACAGTTCGGGAATCCCACGGATCAAGGAAAACCTTTAATTGTCAGGGAAATTTCTTTAAACTCTAAAAAGCAGGGAATAGTCGAGGAAAGTTGCAATTTTTTGCAAAGTACCTGGAAAATTCCTATATCATGTCTGGAAAATAACCAGTTTTAGAATTGTCAGTAACAGTAATCAGTTATTGAAATCTTTTTTTTCTTTCTTTTTTTTTAATGGCGGGCTCTTGAAACTATTGTCCATTGGCCACAGAAAGTGCCAGAACTGGTAACTCTCTTTTCGTTACCCAGTGGGCAACTGTGGCGAAGCCACGGCGGTGGAGCAGCGTCGCCCACGTCACACTACCACAACCCGTTTATAGGGTGGGTAACATTCACCCACAAAGGAGAAAGGACATAGAACACAGATAGAGAGAAAGAAACTTCCATGCCTTGCCTGGGATTCGAACCCAGAACTTTTCTGATGCAAGGACAGTTCCTGCCCATAAACAGGCCGGTCGGCTTATTGAAATCTGAATTAAATAATTCTACATCCAGGGTATCTGCGCACCTAGAAAGTCATGAATTTCTATATTGAGCAAAATTTGTCATGAAATGTCATGATTTTTGCTTCTTTTTTTTTTTGAAAAAATCGTGGAAAGTCATGGATTTAGGTCTCCCAGTCCCAATTGCGCCGATCCGTGCCAATTGTGAAAACCTGCGCCTACATGCTCCAAATTGAAGTAGTAGGCTTAAATTGCGCCGCTCTGTGCCGAAAGGGATATTTTCCCCTGGGTGTCGCCAAGTCACAATTTTGCGGCAACCCAGCTACTGCCATGTGGGGGGTTGCTCTGGATTTAGTGGGAAGGATTCTTGCACTCTCATGTGCAACTCTGCTTCATTTTGCAAGATATTCTCAATTTCAGATTTCATTTTTCACTCTCTGAATTGGAACCGAGACTTCCCCCGAATTATCGGGGACCAGCTAAACATTGCCAAATTTTAATAGCAAAAGAAAATTTTACTTCCCTTGTTAATTTCATCGTTATTGAAGTGCTATTGTCTTCGTCAATGGCAAGTTAATGGCCTTCTTGCTCTATTCTATTTATAAAATAGTACCTATGATCTTGGAATTAACTTGGGGACCATTCACTAAGTGCATGTTTTCATGTTGATCCTCAGAGCAGTCAAGAATCACAAAGCTTCAAAACCTCAAAATTTCCATCTCCCTTTTATTCATTTAATTAATAAAGATAGAATTAATTGAGTTTCTTAAACGTAAATTTTTATCTGAGGGACCATCCACTAATTGCAAATTGTTTGTAAACATTTTTTTATACTTTATTACTTTTCTTTTGCTAATATATTTTTTTTACTTATTGCATTTTATTATTGTGTTATTATATTACTTTCAAAATTTTCAGTGTTCTTATTTTGTTTTAGGAAAAACTTACTAATATTTAGAGGCAAGATTTTAAATAAGTATGAAGAGAGGGACTTTCAGAATTTTTAAAGCAGCAAATAAATCTTAAGTTTTTCAGATTTGTCATTCAAAAATACTTTAATTCATCTCATAAAGATTTGATTTAAAAACAATTGATATAAAATTTTTTAATTGTTATAGATTTGTTAAATATTATGAGTGTAGGGACAATATAATAATTTACTTCTGACAAAAAATTTTTAGCTTCAATACTCATTGTATTTGCATTTTAAAATTATTTAATTTTTTTAATTATTTCATTAATGGAATACTGTACTAGGTAATCAATTTTAATTAAAAAAATTTAGGGGCCATTCACTAATTAACATTAGTAATATAAATTTATTAAAGTTTGCTTAATTCTTTACATATTTTTATAAATTCGGTATGATCAATATTAATCTTGTTAATGTTTTGTTGAATATACGACTATAAATAACATTTATTTAAATTTTAAGAAAAATATACTCAATAACCTTTAATAGTTAAATTAATTAGAGTTTTAAATTACCTTTTACAGAATTAAATAAAGTAATTATTAATTTAAAAAATAGTATGAGCCACTCAATATTGAATTTATTTAAATTGCTTTTGCCAAAAGCTCATTTTTAAGAAATATTTCGGCTATATTAGATAAATTTTTAGGTCTTTTCCAAACTGAGACACCATTGATTCACTTGCTGTATGATGAAATGGTGTCTCTAGTTTAAACATTGTTAGGGCGTTTTTTAAAGAGTTCTGCTTTTCTTAGTTTGACAGGAAAGCACTTAAAATCTTTGTATGTTGAAAATGCAGAAATTTGGCAAAATTCAAATTTAATAGATGTTGCACTAGATACCACAAATGCGATGACATCCTTATCTTCTTCTTCAAAAAAAAAAAAAAAATTCTATGTCCTAATAATTCTATTCCTCTTATCTGAGGCTAAGTCGAGGATAGCAGAATATTTAACAGTATTGGAAGATACCAAAAAGAAACTTAATTTGTTTATGCAAGGACCTTCAAAAAAGTGTAAAAAATAAGATATGTTATTAATGAACAAAAAACTCTTGTTATTAAATTCTTGTTTTAATTTTTTTTATTAAATATGCTTCAAATTTTGTTTTGCTGCTCCAAATTTTTTTTTTTTTTTGTTGCTCCAATTAATCTAATTTCATCCTGTTCCAAATATCTGAATTCCTAACAAAATCACCACTCAGGCATATTTTATTAGAATATAAAGTTATTTTATTATGTTCTTTAAAAATTATGGTGTTCTTTCAGAAAATGAGGGAAAAAAAATATCATTTCTAGAGGGATATCTTTTAAAGTCTTCTGTGATTTAAGAATTTTTATTATTTATTTTTTTAAAAAGTTTATTAATTTAAAATTCTAATTGAAGCAAACCAGTCATTGGCGAATTTTTTTTATTCCGAAATGAGAACAGAAAAATCAGGAGTATTTCTTTCCTTTCAGATGAGCAAGAAAAGTTTCTTTAGAATATTGTTCTACAGAAGAAGAAAAAAAGTCATGAATTTGAAAATCTAAAATGTAGCAGATATCCTGTACATCTATTACAATTATTTTATAAAATTCCACTTTTTAGTGACACTTCTTTTCCGTGTTTCCATTCTAATTCTATTATTTCTTTTTGCTCACAAAATCTAATATTTAACATTAAAAATTAAAGAAACAGTCTTCTGATGAAAAATTGCATGGTATAGATAAAATATACTATGGGTTTTTATTGTAACATACCTAATGTGTCTGGAAAAGTCAAAGATTTTTTTTTTCTTTCTGAAATTAAGTGGGAACTCATTGTACTAATTTTTTTGTTGTCTGCACTGCAATATATTTTAAATTGAGTGTGCCTTTTAGTCTCTTTTTTTATTTCTTATTTTAACTTCATGGAGCCTAAGATTCAATTAATTTTAGTCTCCTTTAAAATAAATTCTTGTTTTGATATCCCAATTAACAAGGATTTGTTAAATATTATGAATATAGAGACCATATAAAGCTCAGATTTGTTAAAGTATTATGAATATAGGGACCATATAAATAGATAGTTTAGGTTACAAACTTTCTATTTATGATAAACTTATTAAGTATATTAGTTTAAGTTTTTGATTAACTTTCTTCTTATAACATTAAAAACTATTAATTTTTGTTCAATCTAGTGGAGGTACTTCTAAAGAACAGATCTGCTTAGAAATTTTAAAATTCTATTTACTGTAAATTGTTTTCTGAGGTAGGTGGGTATATGGTTAGGATTAACTAATTCTTGTAAGATAGGGATATTTCTTTTTTATTTCTGCTTTAGAAAATATCTAATGCTCTATATTTATAATTAAATAGCTAAAATAAATAATTGACTTTTTTTATTCTTGCCTTGAATTGTAATTTTAGTGAGGAATGCAAAATTTCTTTTAAATTCAATAAGGAGAAGCATGATAGGTGGAATAACAATATAAGACATTTTATTCAATTAAAACAATCATTAAAATATCATAATCATACAACTTTATGAACATATTTAAAGATATAGGTGAGTTTTACGCAAGTTTCTGTCTTCATATGGCCATTTTTCATAGAAAACAAAACAATATCCTTAAAGTAACTCAATTGCATAAAAAATACATGTCTGCTGTAAATAGTAAAAACACTTTAAATTACCATTATAATAGGTATTAGTTTTTACACTCTCGTTTATATTTCAAAAAAAATATTTCATTTTTCTTGCTTTTTGATAAAATCGTATCGAGTTCAGCAAAATGTACTGTAGCCGAAGTGAAACCTAGTTTTGATAGCCATGATTATTAATTTTTTAATTTAATAAAATGAAGAAAATTTTGGCATTTGTTTTTTCAAATAGGATTATGATATATTTATTTAAGAATTTGTATTTCTGAAACAATGTTTGCATTTGTTTCTGATTGAAATATATATTATTTTTAGAAATATACCTACTTTTACTCTAGGGTAAAGTGGGTATCTCAAAACATGTTCTTTAGAATGCATTACTGTAAGAGAAAACAATCAAATAAAATAGATACTTTATGTGTCATATTTAATCTATATGAATCCAATGTATATAAAATGCATCAAAATTTCCAGTAAAATGTTTTTAATAGTTCGATTTTAGAGCCTCCTTTTTAAAAAAAAAGCTTGATTTTATACCAACTTTACCCTGCCTGACATTATAATTTTGAATAAGTTTTTAGTAAGCTATATTAAAATGTCTTGAATGTATATACTCTATTAATTAAATGTTTTTGTTTATTTTTTATCTATTTCTGTTGCTTTCTAGTGGAATATCAAATGGAAATGATGCGTCATTTAAGGCATGTCAATGTCGACCATCTTCATGTCGGTTGGTATCAAAGTACCCATTTTGGGAGTTTCTACAATAAGCCCCTCTTGGAGTCACAATTCAACTATCAGAGCTCCATCGAGGAGTCAGTTGTCTTGATTTATGGTTTGTGTGCTACTAACATTAATTTATTATTAAAGTAATTCTTTATCTCTGGCTTGCTATTTTTATTATTGTGTAGTGTAATATATTTCACGAATCTGATTGTAACAATTGAAGTGTAGAAATCAGTAATGTGAAAAAAACTTTAGGATAGACTCAATTTATTCCAATTTATCGATAAAAACTGCCTGATTGTTGTTGGATGCAACAATACTAAAGTTAGCCTCATTCCTCAGATAAAGTAATCTGGAACTTTTCCTTATTTTATTTTTTTTTCCATCTAGAACTCTTTATTTTCTATTTTTTAAAGTGTATGTTATAATTTCCTAACATTAAGTAAGTATCTATAATTATTCAAAATTATGCATTCAAAGAACAAAAATGCAATAAAAACATTTTATAATGAAGTGCATGTATGGTCAAACAGGAAAGGAAATTGTTAATGAGCTTATTGTTATATAATATAGTTTTTGTATTCTATTGACTGTAAAAATATTTAAGCTCCTCTGTTTAACATATTTTAAGATTAGGTATTACACAGTATATTATGCAGTAATTGGCCGAAAATGTATCATATTTCTTTAAATTTTTCTTTTTTTTATAGCTATTGTGTCAGTAGGTTGCATAAATTATTTCAATCTGTTTGTAATCAGTGTTTTAGATTTCATAAAGTTTTTAGTTTAATGATCCTTTTTTTATATATATACAAAATTTATTAAATTCCAAACTACTACTAATTAATCTATAAACCTTTTAAAATATTGTTGCAAACAGTGAATCTTGCAAAAACACTTATACGGATCTTGTTTCTGTGCAGGCTGCTTTTATTCAAAAGAAGAAAATCAAAAATGTTAATTAGAACTGGTGTTGTTGTAACTGAGTTGGCATTAAGTGGGAAGAGGAGAATGAAACTTTATCCAAGAAAAGAATGATGCCATAAATGCTAAGTTCGGAACCAATTTAGTTTGAGCTTGTTCTAAAATGAGCCCTTGGTTTAAAAAAAGATTCTGCATTTGTGATGAATTGATTTCTGCTTGACAAAATGTTATAGAGGTTAAAGGCGTAGTTACGATAGCAACATTTTTATTCATGTACTGATCGTTGATGGTTTTTTTTATTAAACGAATGTGCATGTGTGTGTTTCCTTTTCTTGCTACTTAAAAATGAATAAGCCTAAAAAATACTTCTACTCAAGTTAAAGAATGTTATTTTTAAGAGTTTTCTGTTTTCTTGTATTAAATCTAAAAAGGGCACTTTGTTTGCTTTCTGCTCGAATTATAGTAGGGACATTGTTCTGCATTCAAGATGAAGTAAGCAAGAATATGTTTTTACCAAAATTAAAAATATTAACACTTTGTTCATTGCTGAAGGATATAACAGTGCTATTCGAGCTGAGTGTTTGTTCAAATCATTCAGAGATTCATAATCTGCCCCTACTGGCATTGTTTGAAAATGAATTATTATCAGCTTTCATTTAATTATTTGTTTAATCAAGTAAAGGTTTTAACATAATCTTAGATTTACACGGTGCGCCTTAACTAAAATTAAATAAAATGCTCTTACACCTAGAAAATTAGTAGAGATTCCGAATTTACAATGTTCTTAGATAATAAAAATCGAAAAATTAAAATAATCTGTGGAGAGATTTTTAAAAAAATCCACTTTGAACATTTTTGCTCACGAAGTACGATATTTCAAAAATGTTAGCTTCATTTTATACTTATAAATAGGAAAAAAATAACTTATTTGCATTAAATATTAATAATAACCGTTTATAATAAATTTTATAATTATTAGAAGTTTTTTAATTGTTAATTATAGTCGATGAACCACTATTTAAAAAACAAAAATAATAAAAACTTAAATCAACTTTAGCGACTCAAGAACTGTGAAATAAGCACAAGCACTGCGACTTTAAAAATGGCAGCTTCCATTCGTGTGTGTACACGAAGAAGAAAAGCAATTGAACCAGGATAAAAAACAAAACTTAATATCACAGCTCATTCTGTCGACGATTATTTTGATTTTAAGGAATTTCCTTTCGTTTGTATAAAAGGTGATGAAGTCTCGGATGCTCCTGCGCTTGGAGTTAACTGCAAAGATGTTCCTACTTTTGTTCAGTATGTGGAAAATAAATGAGATGTACTGGATGTTCACTTAAAAATGGGTATTGATGGAGATGCTGGATTTTTAAAAATATGTCTTTCTGTACAATCAAATCAGTTGAACTTCGAGTGCAACGGTACGCGTGCTAAGTATGATGAGGGGATAGCTGCAAGGAAATTTAAGGATTCTTGAGTTAAACGACTATTCATTCTAGCAGCCGTTTCGAGTGCACAAGAAAATTATAAGAATGTAGATCAACTCATTTCAACGTTGAATGTAAATCCTTTCCACTGCCCAATTGCAACCGATTTGAAGTTAGCGAATATCTTAGCAGGTATAATGTCGCACAGCACCTCATACCCATGCACTTATTGTTATGCCAAGAAAGATGAGATAAGCAGCTGTGAGAGAATCACCGAATTGAGATCCCCCGAAAATGTTTAATCGTATTATACAAGTTGGCTGACTGAAGGAAAAGGTTCAAAAAACAAAGCAAAAGATTATTTCAATAGCATTCATCCACCGCTAATTGCAACTGTTGGAGGCAAAACATTCCTAGAAATAATTCCACCGCCAGAATTACACCTTATGCTTGGTGTTGTTAACACTGTTTTCACGAATATGTTGAAAGAGTGTGAAAATGAATCGCTGACATGGACAAAAGCTTGTCACGTTCAGCGTGAAATCAGACGAGGATGTTATGGGTTTAAAGGAAACGCATGCAAAACACTTTTGGATAAGGAAGAACTTCTGCACCAGTTTAAAAATCTAGCAATACTGAAGTACGTTAAAGTATTTGACAACTTCAAAAAAGTGGTTTCTGCGTGCCTCGGAAATAATCTTGACCAGAATTACAAAGCATGTATAGAAGCTTTCAAAAAGAGCTACATGGACTTAGGCATCAGCGTTACACCAAAGGTTCATGCAGTTTTTTTTTTTCACATTAAACAGTTCTGTGACAAAAACGGTGAAGGATTAGCATTTTTTGGGGGAGCAGGCGATGGAGTCCGTACATTTTGATTTTTCAAAGTCTTCCTGGGAGATTAATAAGGTTGCTGCAAATCACCCGGATTATTCTAAACACCTTTTGAGCGCTGTTTGTAGATATAATGCTTTACATGTTTAAATTGATGTAATTATAATTAAATTATGTTACATTTTTATATTTTATCAGTAGTAAAATGCTTAAATAATAAAAGTTTATAAGAATTATAACTGAAAAATCATTATTATATAATTTTTTTCCTTTCTATTGATATAAAACAACGCCAGATTTTCCAAAATATCATACTTCGTGCGCAAAAATGTTCAAAGTGGATTTTATTAAAAATCTCTCCACAGATTATTTTCATTTTTTGATTTTTATTATCTGTTAGCATTGTAAATTCAGAATCTCTTCTAATTTTCTAGGTGTAAGAACATTTTATTTAACTTTGGTTAAGGCGCACCGTGTTTAGTCTTTAATATTATCAGTGGTATTATCAGTCTTTAATTTTATCATTTCCTAAAGGAACTTTTTTGATTTTGAAATGTTGGCAGGCATGAATTTATTTTTCTTTTTTCAACTTGAAACTTTTAGTTTTTTTTTTTTTTTTTCTTAATGTATAATTTTTTCCCCTTATAATTTTTTTTTCTGTTCTCATAAGAGATTAATTTAAAACATTTTTTAAAATTTATTCTCAACTATAAATAATTTAGTTAGTAACCTTAAATTAATAAAATGAATATGCACACAGCTTTCTATTTTTAAATATTTTACAATTGTATAATTAAATATAAAAACAGTGTCATAGCCTTTAAACACTTATAATTGTCTTGCAGATCCCATGAGAACCAGTAGGGGTTTCCTGTCTCTTCGTGCATATCGTTTGTCTAATACTGCTATGAAATTATATAAAGAAGGAGAGTTCACTCTAGATATGTAAGTATGCTGGTAAACATTCGGCGATTTAAAATTTGACTGCATTTCAATAAAATGTTATAAATTCATGCACTCTTGGAGAGCAAAACATTTTTATACACCATTTCTTAGTTTCATGCAATTGTTTATTTTAAAAGTTTAAAACTATAGTTAAAGCTTAATATTAAAAAATCAAAGAGAACTTGAAATTTGTTATAATTGGAAAATACATGGATGAGTTTCTTCCCCATTTTAATGAAGTTCTGCTTCTTTTCAATTTAATAAAAACAGAAGTTCGGCCATTTCAAAACAGAATCCCATCCTCTCTTTAAAAAATTATTCATTTTTTACGCTTTTTCATACTTAAGGAATACTTTCGTACTTGATTTAAATTTACTTTTGTTTGATTTAAAATCACACATCAAGATACTTATTCCCACAAGTTGGAAAAAAAAGTGCATCGCTCACACATTGCTATTTGTGTTTGCAAGCTTTTGCCTCAATAAATATCATTTAGAAAACATCATTTATGTTTGCAAAAGTTATGAACTTTTTTTTTGCTTCAATTTTATTAGGTGTATTCTTTTATATTATTGTATTTTTGTAATTCCCCTTTAGTTATTTATGAATTAACACACTTACAGCCAGAATTAAATCTGTTTTAGGTTAAAGAATCTCCATGTATCTTATTCAAAGATGTTTGAAGAAATCACAGTGATAATTCGTAATTCTCATTTGGTGAATTTGTTGATGTGTGAAATCGCTGATTGGATGCCTGAGGAAGAGAATAATCAATTTTTGGATATGGGGACTGCGTAAGATACATTTATTATAGTTGCTTCATTTCCACATTATTTAAATGTTTTCTTGGAAAATATTCTTGTAGCAGTTTTATACCTTGAATTTTTAAGTGAATTCTATTAAATTTAATTTACAATAAAATAAACCATTTTGAAATAATTTTACATATCATGCAACTTCAAGGGCAATCATGGGCATAAAATTCTTATGATTTTTTTTTTTTTTAATTAACTAGGATTTATATTCTAAAGAAGTCTTAATTATTTGTTGAACTTTTAATGTACAGATATAGTAAAGAGAAGTTTTTAAATAAGTGTTTAAATTAAATGTTTTCTTTTTGTACAAGGTAGTTTCATGTGCTTATAAGTTGATAGATTTTTTTTCAATTGCATCTTTATACTTGCTTTATCAGGCATAAAAAGTCTTGTCCAATACAAAAAAGGGGTGTCTCCAGGGGTAAAGAATGTCATGAAATTTGACAAAGTGCCGGCCTCTTGGCAGGCAGAACAGTCTCAAAGATGTTCTCCATTAATAGCAAATGCACTCAGGAGAGTCATAGTACAAATGTTCCTGTAGTAAGTCTTGTCCAGCCTGAAACGCAAAACTCTATTTACCCTAGGGAGGGCAAATGAAAATATCAAAAGGGAAACAAAATATCATGAGTTTATTTATAACTCTACGGGGGAGGTTTCTCGCGATAATTACTTTGCATTTTGATATCTTGAAAACATTCTTTTCAATATTTGAAACTCCTTTAAATTCTATGGGTTTAACTGGTTCTCGACTAACTTTTCTGTCAATTAAAAATTTTAGTGTACCAATCGAAATGAAATAGAATTTGTGATGAAAAGTTTCTTCCCATTATAGCATCCTCTTGAGTATATAAGTAAATTAAATTTTTTCTTTGTTCAAAACATCTTTTTTTTTTATGATTTTGTTTATTGGTAATTTCTGATTTTTTGTTCTTTTCCCACTCATTCGCCTTCTATTATATTTGAATGAAGGAGTTAATTAATTACTTAACCTACTAATATTTCCCGAAAGCTATCTACTAACAATGAAAACTGAACAGTTCTTTGTCATTATATATATATTTGTTTGTTTTTTAAACATTTAGTCTTAATCAGAAGATAGCGTTTTAAAGTTTAAGTAACTTTTCACTTCCTGTATTTCTTATACTTTTGTTGTAACCAGTAAGAGCTTTTTTTGTTGCTTTTCTTTATAATTTTCCTAATTCTTTCAGATCTGTTCTTGAAAAGAGCTTGCAAGCAATGATGGAATGTGTTGATACAGTCAGTCAAGAAACAAACAAATTGACCAACTACCAGAGACAAGTTATCAAGCAGCAACAGGCTAAGAATCAACACTTGCAGAAAAGAGTATGGTTTATTTTATTTTATCCTTTTAGAAAATCATTTAAACAGAAAATTTTACCGTCATATTTATAATTGCAAGTGCTGAATATATTTAGTGCTTTGATTCTTATATTATGCATGCGCAACCTGCGGCCCACGGTTGCAACCTGAACAATTATTTTTAAAAATCAGAAATTTAAAATTCCGCATGTAAGTTTTTGACGCACCCAATTTCAATGAATGTAGTTTGTTTTGAAAATCCCAATATTTTTAGTGTGACATTATGATACACGAATTTCGAATTTTAGTTAGCGCTTTTGACCATGGGTGCAAGTCTTCCGTCTTTCGAAAATGTCCGCAGACTGAAGTAAAACGGAAACAAGACTGACTCGAAGACGGAAATCGGAATTTTTTTTTTCTATCCTTAAAAATATTTTTTAGGTCTACGTTATTGGTCTACTTTCTTATGTCCTGTTGTTATTTTATCAAAAGACAGATGAATAAATATTTTTTGTACAGTATTTAAACTTGATGTATTATAGTAAAGCTTTCTTAGATAGTTTGCATATGTCGTGAGGGTATTGTGTATGTTAGGTATTTCAGTCAAAAAATTTTCAGTCTTGGCCTTTTTTCCAACTTGCACCCATGCTTTTGACACTCTGTGTGTGTCGATTTCATCGCAAATCCAGTGACTTTTCGATACTTGCTATTACCCATTTTCATGTGTTTCTGAAATTGCTATTTTTTTAAAAAATATATTTTAAAGTTTTACGACATATAAATAAGCTCATTTTCAAAGTGCTTATTTGCGAAAACTCTATCGCAAATCTGAATTACTTTTCTTTGGCAATTATTGCTATGTGTTTCTGTTTCAAAATTTCGATATTTTTAGCATGATATTATTATGAATTGCGAGTCGCGAAAAGCTCGTTGGAACAACTATGTTTCAACGTTGTTTATTTGTGCCAATTTTATCAAAAATAAAGTTATTCTTCAATTGTTATTTCTGCAATTTTTGCTACACATTTCTACAAAGTCCAGATATTTTTTACATGCTATTGTGACACTTTAATTTCAAATCCCGCATTTAAATTCATCACTTTTTAGCAAGCGTTATTATTGTAGATTTCATAGTAACTACTAAAAAATTTTGATATTTCTTTCGGTAGTTATTACTGCGCTTTTCCCCGTGATTTAAAAAAATCCTGCTATTTTTAATACTATAGTTTTACGGATTAAAATAATCACTTTTTACATGCTCTGTTTGTGCCGATTTCAGCATAATGTTACAAAAAAATTTTTTTACCTTTCTTGGCAGTTATTTCTGTATTTTTACTTGTGATTTTGAATATCTATAGATTTTAACGCAATATTACAACTTTGGAAATTCGATTCTGTTTTTAAAAATTTTGTAATTTAAAAAAGTTGTTACGTATTTTAGAAAAATCAACTAATTTCCAGAGCGAATAAAAAAAAATTTAAAAATCGGGATGTGTAAATTTATATTAAACATGGATCCCTTTTGCAGAAAAATATTTCAATACACGTGCATAATTCTATAGTCTCACAAGCATGTGCAAGTTTAGCAACGCATTCCCAACCAATTCTCTTTCGTAATCACATTATTTAAAAATCACATATCGCGATTCCCGCATTTTAAAAATCATATGTTTTGATTCTTCTTGCAATTTAAAAATTACACATCGTGATTCCCGCATTTTAAAAATCATATGTTTTGATTCTTCTTGCAATTTAAAAATTGCACATCGTGATTCGTATTCAGGCAATCTAGATATAGTATTTTGTATTGACCTTAAGGAGTTTTTAAAATCATGCATCGTTACTCCTCTTGCAAATCAGGAAACATGCACGCTTTTAAAAACCATCCGTTGTGAGTCTTCTCGTAATTTAAAATTCACGCGTCTCGATTTACGTTCTCGCATCACATTTTTTATTCAAGCAATTAAAAATCACACATCCCTGTTCGTATACACACAATTTAAAAATTAAGAACGGAAGGGATTGGGACTTATTCCCAAAACTGATTTAGTTATTTGTCCTAAGTTGCCCACACAACGAGAGCTTCTGTAGAAATACTGTTTTCCAGAATGAATTGGGGCTGCTCTGGATTGTTTAGCAGTCTTTAATCAAAACCATTAAATTTTCATTTAATGACCCAATAAAATTATCAAATCATCAAGCAGATAAAATTATCACAATATTTGAACATTTTGCAAATTGCAGGCTAACCATTATAAAAATTTTTAATCCATTTTCTACCTACATGGACCATTTTGTATCATTTATGATCATATTCTGGGAAGTGATTTGTTTTTTCTTTCTCAGCCCCTTCCTCTTATAATTTATTTGAAATGTTTTAAAGTTGGAGTATATTCTCTACTGAATTTTGAATCTTATTTTGCCCTACAAAGGTTTTGTTTTAATTTTAATCGTGCAAACTTTCTTCAATTTAAAATATTTAGATTTTATTATTTAAAATATTTAATTTCTTTTTAATTTAATTCTATGAATATTAAAAAATTTTAATGTTAACCTTTATTTTTAAATGGATTTAAGTATTATGTAATGTGATAAAAAGCATGAATTTTTCCATTGTTTTTTTTTTTATTATTACAATCAGTCTNTTATTTAAAGTATTTAATTTCTTTTTAATTTAATTCTATGAATATTAAAAAATTTTAATGTTAACCTTTATTTTTAAATGGACTTAAGTATTATGTAATGTGATAAAAAGCATGAATTTTCCCATTGTTTTTTTTTTTATTGCAATCAGTCTGAATTTTTTTCTTATAATTGATTCTGATTTTCCGATTCTGTTTTTTCCCTAACTAATCAGTTTTACAGTTTTTAATCTTAAACATTTAAAAGTATTTAATTTTATGCAAGTATATTACAAGGTTGACTGATAAAAAGAATTTAGTGGCTAGAACAATGATGTTTATTTAACTATTACTACTTATAATTGCTGTCAACGTGTCTGTCTAAATACTTGGTCATGCTTCCCTTCATTGATCAACCTGGTGTGTATGTGGCCCTTCACTCAAAAAGGCTGTTCACCCCTATCTTATATTAATATTTTGTTGTTGCGGATTAAATTTTTTTACTTAACTTGTTACTTTATTTCTTAAGACTAATAAGTTTCTTACTTTTTGATTTACCAAGATTGACAGGTATGCTTCCTCCTTTCTTTTTTTTTAAACAATAGAGATATAAAAAAAACTGGTACAAGCTTTACTGTAAGAGTTTAATTATATTAGAATACAGCAATAGAAATTGAACGATGAAGAGGCCGTTTCTAAATCTAATAATAACCTTAAGATTATTTTTAATTATGTTCTTAACAATAGAAGACGATGCACAATGCATAAAATTTATTTCGAAATATTCTTTTGTTACAGGAAGCAGAGAACAAGGCTCGAATTGCCAAAGGTGAACCTCCATTGCCTGATGATGACATCAACAAACTCTTCAAAGCTATTCCCCCTCCTTCTCGATTGGATGCATTGTTAGTTGCTGGACAAATTGACAGTTACTGTAAACAAATATCACAATTTTCAGCTCAGAATCTGGCTAAATTGTTTATGACTGAAGCATTGCAACAAAAGTAAATGACTGTTTTATGTACAGTTAGTATTAAACAATTTTAGTATTATAACTGCATTTGTGATTTTTTTTTAAACATTTTTATGGACACTTTTGTCACTTAGTAAACAATGAATATTTAATTTAGCTAAATGCATCATTTCTTAGCAGGGCCACAGAATAAGGAAAAATCAGATAAGCACCACCTGTTAGTAATATCTTGATCTTGATTTATCTTTCATTTATTTTCAAATCTTCTGCATGTATAATTGTTTTGTAATATATTTTATATATTAAAATAAGGCATTACTAAAAATAAAAAAATTTATGTGACTGCTTTGAAAAAATACAGAAATTGGATAAAGTGAGGGAATTTTTTTTCTGAGTATTTGTACCCCTCTGGTTCTTTCTAGTAAATTTCTCCATTGCCATGCAATACTGTAAATGAAGCAATTATCTTGTTTTATCTATTTGTCTTGCCTTTTTTTTATTGCAAATAAGCATCGAATTAAAAAATACAATCATTAAAAATATACAAAAATAAACTTTTATAGCATGCTATAAAATTTTTGATTGTTAATGTTTATTGAATTTATATTAATAAAATGAAAAATTAAAATAATAATAAGTTATTAAAATGCATTGTGTAACTTTGTTTTGAATGACTATTTAATGTATACATATAAAGCAATGTTAGGCCGACCACTGACTTCTTCCTGACAAAGAAAGTTATTTCAATATTTTTTTAGAAATCCTGCTGCAGACTTCCAAATGTCCTTTTTATTGACAAAATATCTTATCATTTCTCTTCTTGACAACTTACTATTTAAAAAAAATATTTACTGTTATTAATGACATCAAAAAAATTTGCGCTTATGAGCGGACTCCCATCTTCTGGTGCCCACGGCTGAGTAGTGAAGAACAGGGGTGATTGTGGTCCGGGGGTACCCCGGAATTCCGGGTTTTTCGTCTTATCGTTCCGGGTATAAAATCGGGAGATTTACCTTTCAGTTTCATCAAAAAATCACAAATTGAATAGAAAGTTCGCAAAATAGCGATAAACACTCTTTTGTAGCAACCCTCAGGCAATGATTCGTACTACGCTGGTCCGAGGCTAGGAGCAGTAGTGGAAGGGGGTGAAGAGTGTGAGAGAGGAGAGGAAGAATTCGTTTCTTCTCCTTTTGCTTGTGTTGGGAAAGGCATGACGCTGGAGGGTGGATTGGGGGAAAGGAGAATGCGTGACGTTGTTGCGGGGAGGGATTGGGAAAAGAAAATCTTTACTGCTTGGCGAATTTTTTGGAATTAAAAGCAGAGGCTGTAGGTGTAGGGTTGTAGATCTTAGTTGCGCGCTGCACTACTTGTCAGCACGTGTTAAAATTTTCACTGCCGAAAGATTTTCCTCGTGCACGTTTTGTGTTGAATATTCGGCATGCATTTTTAAAGTAATTTCGTTAATCACATTTTTTAAGTAAGCATGAAGTTCTTAACAGAAAGAGATGACATTAGCGATCTAGAAAAAGACTGCAAGAATAAGTTTCGTTTTGAATGGTTAATTAAAAAAGACATTTTGGAAGAAGAAATCAACGTGTGGTGCCGCAAGATTGATACACCAGGTACATGTTTCTGTATTGCGTGCAATACATCAATCAAATATCACAATGAAGGGTTTAAATCCTTGATGAATCATTCTGGAACAGTTGTGCATAAGAAATGTCGTCAATCTGTTAAAAATTCCCAGATTTTAAATTCCCTTTATCCTGGATCAGAAAATCTGACTCANCAATTGAAATGTAGTTGTGTCAAGGGGATTGTAAACATGTAACTATTTAGAAATACATTGAGAACAAAATCTTAATTTCTAACTATTATTTAATAAATTTTATTAATTAATTTTAACATGCAGTTCCAATTATGTCTTTAAAACTGTATGTATTTCACTTATTATGTTTAAATTGGTTGAGTTTTTGCATATAAAGTTTTCAGGGTTTTTTACTTCATGTCACAATCACCCCTGGAAGAAGGGCTCATATGCGGGGAAGGGGACACGGAGGTTCCCTTAAGGGTCAGGATTGAAAATTATGTGCCCTTTTTTTAGGAGTTATAAAGTAGTTAAACAAAAGCTATATTATTTTTAAGAGCCATGTTTTGAGGCTTTGCTTGATTATTTGTTTATGAAAACGAAATGTCATATTTATGCTTGCCGCTTTTAGGTAATTATTTTGTTATTTATATTTTCTATTAAGCAAGTATCTCTTTAAACTTGATCAAAAACATTTTTAAAAGTTAATTTAAAATAATTGATCAGAAAATAGTTCATTTTCAATAACAAGTTAAGTGTTTTGAATTTTATGATATTGATTTATACAAGTTGCATTTTAAAATATTTAAAAAAAAAAAATTACGATCATATTTAATGTAATAATAAATTTATAAAGTGATATATTTTTGGTTTAATGCCTGGGGTATGTAATTTCTAAATTTGTTTTGTGAATATCTGCAAAACTTCTCAATTTTTTTTCGAAAAATATCAAGGAAATTAGGTTTTTCTAGAGAGTGGCAGTACTGAATATATTTTTATATACTTCTTATAAAATAAATACTTAGATAATTAAAAAACTATCTGATTTTCTCTATTTCAAATTCACAAGGAATGTGAAGGAAGTCAACTATAAAATTTTAACAATAGTAAGTGGAGAATTCTATGTTTGTTTAGATTACCCAATAATCCAAAATTTAAATGTTTTTACTCTATTGGTTGAGAAACACTTTTTAAATTTAAGGAACACAATTTCAAAAATTTATGTTTTTATTATTTATAAAAAAATACATCACTGTTGCAAAAAAGGAGACAATAAATAAAGGTGAAATGTCTTGTTGAACAAAAATTATACTATAATACAACAATTTTCATATTCTCTAAAACAAATAGAATAAATATGTACAGATATTCAATAGAAAAACATGTAAAATAAGTAACAAATATTTCATATCCATAGAAATTCAATTAAATAGATTTAATAAAGAATTCTATGACTAGACTTAATTTATTTAAATAATAATTATTAAAATTACATTATTTTTTTTTATAAAAATTTAATTTTTAGTTCTATTACTTATTTTTTATTTGATATTAAGTAAAAATGTTTCTATTTTCAAATATTTTGATTAATACCTCTGGTTCTTTAATTAAAAATTATTTATTTATTTCCTTCTGTGTAATAATCTTATATAGTATATGTATAATGATGAGTGTGCTTGGTTAATAGCCTGACCTGCCTATCTCTAGGTCAATTCTTTATGTGTTGATTTTAAATTCGCCGCACTTATGAAATAAGAAGCATCTAAAAAAAATGGTACGAACTAACCTCGATACTGTTTTGAGGCTAGATAAGCAACACTAATGACAAACTTTATATATAATTTGGCATCTGAACTTTCTATATATTAAGTAGATATGCAATAAATAGACAATCAATATACAAAAAATTTTCTATTTACACAGAGTACAAGGTACGAATACCTTTTTCTTTTGACTAGAAATACTCATCCAAAGAATACATATCATGTATTTTTTTTCTATATATATATTAATATAACATCTTAATTACATACATGTGTGATTTTACACAATTAGTGAGAAAAAATAGGTTAGGTTTAGGTTTTTACATTCGAACCATACGCAAAAATTATAAAATTGCATTGCAAATTTTTGCCTTGAAGCATCAAAACGTGACAATATCTATTTAAAAATAACTATCTCATTATCATTCTATTTACATCGATGTTGTATATATACACATTTATTTCAAGATTCATTTTGACAAAATGCTCAAAACACATGTCATTATTTTAGACTTTATTCAGATATACATATCTGAATGTGTAATGGTTTAATTAAAATAGTATGAGTCACAGTGCTAAATTTTATAACTTTATGTAATATGTTATAAAATTTTGCAAATTTAGATGTTGTATATATACACATTTATTTCAAGATTCATTTTGACAAAATACTCAAAGCACATGTCATTATTTTAGATTTTTATCTGAGATATATGAATGTGTGATGGTTTCATTAAAATAGTATGACTCACGTTGCTAAATTTTATAACAATTTACTCAATGTTTCTCAACAAATTAATGAGTAAGAACAGACACCTAAATTGGTTTCACTTAAAATTATGGCATATCACGAATAATAGTTTTCATCAGTATAAAGAACACTATCCATGCCAATATAGACACCAGATTGAGTGAATTAATTTTAGCACTGACAAGGTACCTGTGATCTTTGAGTTTCATTGGTTTTAGTCAACATGATATCACTCGCAGACATAACCTATCTCATAGGTAGCCAAGCTCTCGTTTAGAGTCCCATCTGAGACATTTCAGTATTAACCTCAGCGGAGCATGTTATGGGATGAAGCTTGTCTTGAACTCTGCAGATTACACTCCGTTGCAAATTAAGAAAAAGACTATTGTGGTATAAGATTTTTAGTAATCATCCGCGACTGCATATAGTTCCGTTTCATTTTGTTATACAAATATGCTTTCAAAACAATGTAAAAGCTTTTAAATGTTAAACACGTCAGGTGGAAATTTGATTCGTGCTTACTTTTACAATATATATCATAGAATTATTTAAAAGGGTTACAGTTTCATAGTCTTATTGAAATCCCAGATTTGGCGACCTATTTCGATAAATAAGAGAGTACATTTCTTCTTGAGAAGGAAACAACTATATGATGTTGCAAGAGCATTGGATTTGATTTCACTACTAGAAATTACGCGTCTTGCCCTGTCCTTAATAAATCAAATGAAAGATAAAGAGTTTTTACTTTTGTTTTGCTGTAGAAGAAAATCGTCTGCAAGAAAGAATATTTTTTATTCTTTCGTCAGTTTCATTCAATGGAAAGGCGTATATTTGTTACGATTTTTAAATATCATTTTCATTAATTCTTATTACTTTCTAGTTATTATTCAAGTTTTGTTATCCTCATTTCACACGATTTGAAAAAAGCAATCAAAAATAAAATAGGCTGTGCAATGTCGTTTCAAGAGTTGGCGATATCGATATTCGTTTGCGTTAGCAACTTGGTATCCATCTGGCGTGCACTTAAATGCAAATAGGATCTCTCCTTAGGGTTAATAGTTTTTTCTAAACTTGCAACAGAATATAGCTTTCTTTAAATTGCTTGATCTATTGACACTTTCTCTATTGTATATTATAAAAGTTTTTTCCCCGATTATTCTCAGTCTTGTTAATCTATTATGTGAACTAGTTGATGAAGCCGTTGGTCTTTTAAAAAAAAATTTTTTTGTTGAATTACTGATTGCGATGTGCATAAGCTTTCCTTAAAATTAAAGAATACCAATTATTACCGATTCTTGTAGCTAAATATTTATAAGCTTTTTTTGTTTTTTAAATACAATGAGTTTTATAAATAAATACTCGTGTTTTTCATACATGAATAAAGTATTTTTTTAATTGTTTGGTTGGGAAAAAAATTTTATCGCAACTGTTCTCCTATTTGGAATAACCATAATTGATTAGATCAGGAATATTATTTTAAGCAGTTATTTTCTACTTTATAAAAATCTTTCATATTATTTTATTTTGAAATGATACAGTAAAAACTTGAATACGCACTTAATTTTAGTTTCTATACATTGACATAAAGTATGCATCACTTATATCTTTAACTAATATTTCTGACGTTAACAGTCATGTTAGACTAAATTTACTCAATTTTGCTAAAGAAAAAAAAGTGATATAGTAAATGTAAGAGTAGTTCCTATTGTACTTAGCTTAGTGAAAAGTACTTCTGATACATTCATTAATGAACTACACACACATAAAAACTGATGTATAGCAAGCTGTAAGTCAGTCATAATTTAAGAAAGAAACATTTTAAAACAAACATAAAAAAACTAAGTAATATATATGAAAGAAAACATCACATTGAGGTAGTTGAGATCATTTGGGAAGCTGATTGCCAAAACATTTTCTTAATCATTTTGACAAAATACTGATACAACATGTTTATAAGTAAATATTTGTCCTTAGAAGTTTCGAATAGGACTAAATTGTAACGTTCAGCCATAACTCTCATTTTTTTCCCTATAAACTATCAAGGATGCACTTAAAAATTCACATAAAAAACCTCACTAGTAATAATTTTCAGCAGTGTACGGAACACTATCCATGCCAACATATCTACAGGTTCTAGACCTCGTACAATAATTGTTACGCTTCCGAGGTACTGGTGGTTTCTCCGGTTTATCCATAGGGGGTAATTCTTGCACACCTTCGGTTAAGTATGATTTTATAGATTTTGGCAAACACAATTCACTAACGTCATTCACTTCATTGAGAAGGGTAAGGATGGCTGATCGGCACCTATCCTGGAGATTGCCAAATTCTCTTTTGGTGTCTCCCAAAGACATCTCAGTCTTTGCTGCGGTAGAACATATGATGGGGTAGAGTTCGTCCTGCACCAGGTGGAGATCGTTGAATGCCACCCCTAGACAACAGCCATCTTTGTAATAGGAGAGTGTTCCTGTTATCCCATCGAAAAGAATGCCAACCCTTGTGGATTCGTTCTCTCGAAATGGCTTGGTGTATTGACGCCATTTTCCGTCGTGCCATAGAAGGCCTTTGTGCGACAATCCCCACCCCTCTTCATCTTCTCCCAACAAGTTGATGAAGGCGTTGGTGTGCAGCTTTGCTTTCTTTGTTCCAATACCTGGAAGATTTAAAAAGCATCTTAAAAATTGCTTATGAACAGAAAATTTATTGTGAGACGTGGTAGCTCAGGGGATAGAGCAATCGTCTCCCAATGAGGTCACCCGGGTTCGAGTCAAGCGATTCCCCACTCGGCTCGCATCGCGACCATAGTGCTAACGTAAAATATCCTCAGTGGTAAACGAATCATGGGTTAGTCACCCTTGCTGCCAGGTTAACTTTGGGAGATTTTCGGTTTTCCTTTCCATGTAACGTGCAAATGCAAGTTAATTCTATCAAAACGTCCTCCACGAAGTCAAAATTTCTCTCAATACTTGATCTAGGAATTCCCTTGTTTTCTGGATTGGGTTCAAAAGTACAAGACTACGGAGTCGTAAACTCAAAATTGGATCGAGTGTTCAAAGACGGTTATAAAATTTAATTTGTTGTTTTAGAGTTTATATCCATGTTCGTTACCGTGAACTCATGTTTGTAATTCATTATTTGAACCTTCTTTGACCTAATGCTCGCATTTTTTGATAATCAGTTTATTTCTACAATATATAAATGACAATTTTTCGTCACGCGAATGGACATATGTTTGTGCGGCGTAACTGTAATATATAGTTTTTTTCTCCCGCTTTGCATACAAATGAATTTCTATTAAAGAGTTTGCTGTTTAAATAAGACTAATAGCTATTACCATGCAGAAAAAGAACAACGGTTTTAATTAGTGCAACTATTTGATTTACAAACAGTTTCGATTGAGGGAAAATGTTATTGCTTTAAGAATACCCTTTACACAGAAATGGTACATTTTGCAAAGCTATGGAGAACTACATGAGATTATTTAATAAGTAACAAATTAATATTGTAAAATAAATTTTCAGTTCATTTTATTCGGTAAAATGTGCTCGATTAAACCTAATGACAGGCTAAAATTTGTAAAAAAAATTTATTCGAACACATTTCAATGAATAAAAAGAAATCATTTCAAAATTATTTATTGGGTACTCAACAAATTTTTTCAAATATATTAAAATTAAAAGAATTTTAAAATATTTAAAAAATAAATTTTGTAAATAATTATTATTATTTATGAAAGAAACATAACAAGATATTTTTTAAGTAAGAAATAATTCTCTAGTAGAAAATCAATAACTTTACAAATGAATAAAAAAGTTTTAAAATCTATAGTTTGTGGTTATTTTTATTATGATTATTTTAACCACCCTTTTAACCAAAACAATTTTACAATAAAATGGAAGATCACATATAAATGGCAAATTTTTTTACTTATTTTATTCATTGAGTATTAATTTTTATGTTATAACCCGAATAATAGATAATATCGAATATGTACTGTGAACAAAACAGATTATTATACAATTTGCTAAAAATTTCCCCAGCTATGAAAATTCGCTGTCTCAGTTTATTGATACAATTTTCATAACTTATAATTATATTGATGTACTTAGTGTACTACAGAACAAAAAAATTAATTACAAAATGGATTCAGTCTTAGTATAAAAAGTCATATTTTATTTATTTATTTGCTGACTGAATTTTTTTTTAGCATCAATATCATTAATAATGTTTGTAGTTAATTCTCGAATTATTCTCTATATGCCGATCGCTTGCCAAATATCACTTTTGTGTCTTTTTAACCCAAATTAAGTTGTCTTGTGTTTTAGCACATAGCTTGCAACAAAACACAAAACCGATAAATTTGTCAGCATTTTTATAAGCATCAGACAAGGTTCGGTTCATATTGCCGATAAATCAAAAAAAAAAAAAACAATCACGATCATTTTGTCTACACGATTTTTTTCGCAGACAGCAACTTTTTTTAAAACAACTGCAGGCCACGCATTGATCGCAAATAAGCACGGAATAAAAAAAATTTTAGGAAAGAAAGTGCATAAAATTAATGCCAAAATTAAATAAAATTTTATGTAACATATATAGTTTAATTTCCAGTATTTTGGAATAAAAATGGTAAGATGTGTACATACCAAACATCATACTGGTTCCGAAAATCCTTTGACTGATATTAATTTCCCAATAGTACCGTCCTCCATTTAAAATTCTTGTGCCTCTTACTCCAGCTGTACCGTTGCTCCAATTAGGGTGAAATTGAGCGGTCTTGAAATTATCACCGTACAAAAGAACTTCATGTGATTTATCTTTCTTATTCCAAGTCCAATAGTCACTACAAAAATTACTTAAGACAGGAGGTTCTTCTGTAATTGACATGGCTGTAAAAAGAAATTATATAAGCATTATTCAAGCGTTAAGAATAAACAATAATGCTTTTTAACATTATGATATATGTTAATTTCTTATTCGAAATGTATTGTACTTTAATAGCTTCATTAATTTTTAAAATAAGGTGTTACACCTATAGTGATTTGCCATTTTAATTTGTATAAATTATTTTCTTTAACAAAACTATTTTTTTAAAATAGAGTAGAAAGTGAAAACACTACTTATTACTAAAAAATATCAGAAATAGTAGCTACGAAATTGTTCTCATATGCTTACCTGGTTCAAGCTAAATAATTTCCGAAGAGTTTAAATTCAAAAACAAACCATTAACAGTTATTATAAGTAATTCACCATCAATAGCAATTATAGTAAATATATATATATTTTTTAAATTCAAGCAATAGTTCTATGATAAGAATTACACAGAAGAAATACCAGTAATAAATTCTACTCTAGTAAAAAATGAAAACAATTATTTCTAACATCGTCTGAAATTTTCAATGTAAGAAATAAAGATAAAAAACGGTATTTTGTTAACAGAAAACAGGGTAAAAAAAATAGTAATGCAAGTTATATGAACACTTTATTACTTTATTAAATAATTTTTAAAATTCTGTTTTCAACAATCGTGATAATCGACAACACGTATGATACGCATGTCATGAATAAAGAAGAATGTCTACAAAAAGATATCAAAGTCAATGATTTTTGTCAAACGATTTTTTTCTCTACTTTTTTATGGAAACAAAATCGTCTGTACTGGATTTCTTAATGAAAAATAACTCCCACTCAGATTTTTGGAGGGCAGACAGACAATGATAATTTTAAGATTTAGTTGCACTTAAATCTCATATCGTTATTATTAGCTATTACTGCAACTTTAAATTTCCCAAAATGGCGGAAATTTCCCTCACAAAAAAAAAAGTCATCTGCTTTTTGTTCTATAATTTGAGAAAGAGAGAAGTTTGAAGAAAGACGACAGTATCAATAACAACATCTTAAATATTTACGACTTCAATAACTCAAAAAGATGGAAAATTAATCGGTTCGTGAGGTTTTTCGTCATTATTTTTAGCATTATCGTGTCAGGACTACTTATTAAGCAGAATGCATGCTTGAGTTTTAAAAAAATTATCTACAGTACTTTAAATGACTGTTAATAAAACAATTATTCTTAGTGATTAATATGAACATTGATTATCATTATTAATTTGTTTTATTAAAATAAAATTAGTTATGTTGAGCATTAAATTCAGCGGGAATGTAAGTAATTTAATAATAATTATTATAATGATGTCTCTATTGTCAATGATTTTGCAGCGATACTATGATTTTTCCCTTTAAATGTTTTAAAATTTTTAATTTTCTGTCAATATAATTTTTATCTTGAACCGTATATTAATCTCTTTGGTATGACGTAATCTCTGTCGAATTTTTATCATCTCTATTTTACATCGAAATTCGTTTAGGGTGTGATAATAATGAGCTCTTTGTAAAGTGCTTTCGTACTTTTAAATAATATTAACAACAAAAATAATTTGAATAACTTCATAAGAATAATTACACCTAAGGAGTTGTAAAATAGGTAAATATGAGGTTGAAAATAAAGCAACTGTTGTAGTTCAAATATTATTATTAAAAGTAGAACAAACTGCAATTTAAAAATAAAAAAACGAGTGCACTTAAAAATTGAAAGAAATTTTGACTTACTTTTTTCTGGTTCTTTTATCATATTCTGCAACAAGATTTAATGAGAAATTTTCTAACACTTGAAAATCCATATGATGTTTGTTTTTTAAACATTATTAGATTATTTTAATTGACATTAACAGAACGTATTTATTCTCAATAAATATAAACAAGAGGATTTTATAACAAATAAAATTTCACTTAACAAGTTGGCAACATAACAAGAAGCGCACGCGACTGATTCTAACGGCTCTACATGATTGAATGAGTACTATTAAATCTGATCCTGTATGCTACATTTCAAAAAAAAAAAAAATCTGTATAAAAGTTAAAAAAAATAAAACATCTGCTGGAAAAACGGGAAGGGTACCCTTTGTTGGCTTACAAGAGAATATAGTTAACGGGAGAGGGGGCTTTTTGCAAAATAAATGTATAGTTTTGAGGCGCGTGCCACTTCCCCCTACCCTTTTCAAGTGCCATACCGGCTGCTCGCTCATTGGCCAGCTGGCGCGTGGACGATTGTGACAGACGGCGCGTGCGATTTCCGTGACGTCACACCACCACCTGATTGCTTTTTGGGGATGCCCTTATATCATAGAGATATCCTGGCGACCCGCACTTTTTGCAAGTTAACGCCAACAGATGCTTTTATTTGATGTTGGAAATAGTACCTTTTTGGATGCTTTATCGCCCCATATATCTTCTTCAGATAACACCTTGACGTTTATTATTTTAGAATGTGACATTTGTTGTTAATAGGAGCACTATTTAACTCCTGAATTTCTGTTACGATATTACATTTTTGACTTAAATTAAATGGTATCGTGAATTCAACCATTTTTTAAAACTCACGAAATTGTGATCAAAACGTTTGGCATTTCGAATGGGTCTCTTATTAGTAAATGTAATTTACAGTAAAATAATCTAATTAATTACTTAATAAAACGATTTCTTTAATATTTTTCTTTACTATGACGACTGTTTGCTTATGTTTTTTAAACGAAATAATTATGTAGTTATTTTTTCCACGCAATTTTTATAATTAGTTTAATTTATTTTAATTAATTATTTAATAAAGCGTGTTCTTTAATATTTTTCTTCACTATGACAACTGTTTGCTAATGTTTTTTAAACGAAATAATTGTTTAGTTATTTTTGTAGCGCAATTTTTATAATTAGTATGATTTACACGTAGTTGTTTGTTGTTAAAATTATTTCCTTTTAAAAATCGCATTACGGTTCTCGGTGCTTCGGTAAAATATACCAAGAATGATTTTTAAGAGAGCGAGTGAATAAAGGATAGCGAGAACACGTGGTAGGAAAAATAAGTTAGTGAATCAGCTTATCAGTTTATAGTTTATAAATGAATAAATATATTTATAAAATATAAAATTTTTATTTATTTATTTATTGTTATTATTATTATTATTTTTTTTTATTTTTTTGCTGCGATTGACGAGATGCAAGAGTATAAAATCAAACGCGATATATATATATTGTATATATATTAAAAAACCGGGAAACAACAAAAATGAAAAGATAATATTTCTTCAAAAGCTCACACGATTATATACAAAAGGAATGCTTTCTAATATTGTATCAGTAGAGCCATATCATAATATATCAATACAATAGTGTGAGGAGCACTCAAAATAATTGAAACAAAATCCAACACATTAAGTGAAAAATATACTACACAAAAAACAGGAAATAAAATGTAAAGAAAACATGAAATGAAATCTATAAAGCGAGAAGCGAATTCAGATGAATTTACATGTACTGGATTCTTTCAAGAAAGATTTAGAATATTTTCGTAATAAGATTGCCACATTACAAAATATGGAAAGAGAAGCGCAAATGGAGTTAAAAGCGTAAATAGAAATATTTTGTTTTATGTTGCGTTCCTATTCCAGTAAGGAAGGGCCCGAAAATGGATGTGTANTCAATATAGCCAAAGCATAATATACCAATACAATAGTGTGAGGAGCACTCAAAAAATATATATATATATATTACACAAAAAACAGAAAATAAAATGTAAAGAAAACATGAAATGAAATCTATAAAGGGAATAGCGAATTCAGATGAATTTACATGTACTGGATTCTTTCAAGAAAGATTTAGAATATTTTAGTAATAAGATTGCCATATTACAAAATATGGAAAGAGAAGCGCAAATGGAGTTAAAAGCGTAAATAGAAATATTTTGTTTTATGTTGCGTTCCTTCTGCAGTAAGGAAGGGCGTTGGATTTGTTAGTTACAAAGGAATGGCCCGAAAATGGATGTGTACAAAATAATAATATTATATTGGAAAATTTAAAGAAGTTTATAGTTAAAATAAGGTTGATATTTAATTATACAATTTTAGAAAATTAGCATTTCTTTAAAAAAAAAAAAAAGAGAGAGAGAAACTTGATTCTGTTTTGCATAGATTTTAAGCCACGGATTTAACCGAATTAGATTTACACGCGGTAAAAATATAAATTAGCAAAGAAGTTTTTAGTAAATTTATTAATAACAACATTACAATTAGCTCAATGATTTCATATAGAATTTAGTTACTTTAATTTAGTATCCATTGTTTTTTATCAAATTTTCAAGGAGAAAATCAATTTTGAGAGAGAAGAATCAATTTTGAAATTTTATCAAATTTTGAAAGATAAAATTTTTTTATCAAATTTTGTCAATAATCAACACAAAATCTATTAAAATTCGTAATGAAATATGTTCGTTTTTTTTATAAATAATAAAAATTAAAAAAAAACATTGCGTTCAATTGGTCTTTAAAGTGAGTTTAAATTTACTTGATTAAACATAAAAACTGTTATTAAAACTTAAAATTAATAGCAAAAATCTTCATTTCCTTGTTTTTATTTTTTATTAGTTGTTGAAATATATTTGAAAAACATTAAAAAATGGGGGCAATAATACGAATGAAAGTTTTGCAAAGGGTCTGGAAAACTTTTTCTAATGACCGTGAAAACTATACTACAACTGTTTTGTAGCTTGTCGCACTTAATTACTTTCAGAACAAATCAAACAAACATTTAGAACAAAACCACGATACTTAATCTCAAACTAAAATCGAAAAGGAGTAAAAAACTAACTTTCCATTTCGTTCATCGCCAAGTTACAATGTAAACAAGAGCCATAAATCCCCCGAATCACTATCATTGGCGGTGAAATGTGGGAGCATCTGCCCAAATCTAATTTGCAACCCCCATGTTCTTGCATCCCGATCCACACGCGCCGGTAGGGGAGGGGGAGAGACAATCTCCATCCTTCCCGCATCCCGTGTTTCCGTTCTCGATGCACTCATTTTATTTATTTTATATTTTATTTTATTGTTATTTTTTTAGCGAGGAAGCCCCAGTTCAAGAAATCACGGGTCGCCTCATTGAAATGGCTTCTTCAGTTACTACGTTTGCTATGATACGGTACAGAAAAACCTTTTTTTAATGCTTCTTTTTAACCTTTAAAAAACGGACATCCTCTTGAGTTACTCTCTTTTATTCTTAAGCTTTATATAT